AGCCCCTGACCCGGCCCCGGCCCCGAGACCTGGCCTACTCGCAGCTGTCCCCGCAGTACCACAACCTGAGCTACTCTTCCAGCCCCGAGTACGCCTGCCGCGCCTCCCACAGCATCTGGGAGCGCTTCAGACTGAGCCGTCGGCGGCACAAGGACGACGAGGAGTTCATGGCGGCCGGCCACGCCCTGCGCAAAAAGGTTCAGTTCGCCAAAGACGAGGATCTGCACGACATCCTGGACTACTGGAAGGGCGTGTCGGCCCAGCACAAGTCCTGAGCCCCAGGCCAGGCGCCCACCGGTGCCCACGCCCCGTCCTGCGCTCCCCCCGAAACTCGTGACGCCCACTGGACCAAAAAGGACACAAATCCACTGCAGCTATTTGTAACCCAGAGACTCTTACCACGACACGACACCACACACACACACACATCGCACACGCACGCCAGGCGCACCGCCTGCTGAAGCCCGGCACCCCACAAAGCTGGGTGGGGTGCAGACAGTAAGCGGTGACGGGACCCTGACACGCGCACAGCAAGCAGCCAGTGTGTACACTGCTCACGCGCACTCACGCGCACACACGCACACACGAGGGACTTCCGAAAACTGTGTCTTAGGGATGGGGGGTGGGGGTGGGGATTTTTTTTTTTTTCATTCTCTTTCCACTTGATTCTTCTCTGCCTTCTTTCTTTTCCTCTCTCTATTGTATTCCTTTTTTTAAAAAAGTAAAGTTCACTTAAAATGACAAAACACCTGACCTGGGGGCGTGACCGCCTCGCTCTCACGGGATCTCCATGCTGTGGCTTTCTGTGGACTCTGCTGCTCTGGGGTGTCTTCACTGCCCCAGGCAGGGGCCGGAGGGGGCGCAGTGAAGGCTGGCGGCTGTGTGGCCTCTGAGACTGCAGGGAGGGATGGGCCTGTGGATGGGCGGGGTGCGGCCGGGAGCGGGTGCTCCCCCACCCCTCATACTGTGGCTGTTCTATTGTACAGAAAAAAAATTTCTATATTTGCAATGTTTGCTGTAAAATGAGAAAGAAAAAAGACAATGTCTACTAAAAAAAAATTCTGCAAAGGAAAAACCTAAATACCTGTTTGTACTGGGCTTTTACTGTGCGGATTTAGGGAGAGGTTTGGGGTTTTTAAATGCTGGTTTAAGGGTGGGACTGGGGCCCCAGGGGGGCAGCACTGATTTCTCTCCCCAGGTGAGCAGGTGACCTCGGGGTGGGCGCATGAGAGCTTCAGGGGCTCCGAGACAGCGTGGGTGAGGGAGGCAGGCCTGGGGTGAGCAGGCCCCTGTGGTCAAGTGTGTCTGGGTGTAAGTGGGCAGCTGGTGGTTGAGTTCTGGGTGGTGGGGGTTGGAGCTTGAGTGGGGCGAGGTCACAAGGGGTGAAAGGTGTGTCCAGCGAAGGCCAGAGTCCTACCCAAAGGGAACGTGCCCTCAGGCGCCCAGGGCTGAGCCCTGAGCCACCCATTCAGACCTGCCTCTTCCACAGGCACCTCGCGCATGCCCCTACCCCCCTGGTGTGGCCCCAAATTTGGAGTAGTTTGAGTACATGCACGAACAGCCCCAGGTGGTTCAAAATCTCCAAAGACGACTGGGTCTGGCCCCACCCCAGGAAGCCCCTCTCTGGACTGGCTTCGGGACTCGGGGCTGCCAAGATGCAGTGCCCCCGTCTGGCCCTGGGGCAGGGCAGGGCTTTCAGGGAGACAGGTCACCTCTAGGCCCTGTGCCCACTCTAGCCCTTGGTCCTGCAGACAAGAGCCATCCTGGGGGTGTCCCTCTCATCCCCTGGGGAGAGGGAGCCAGGGCTCTGTAGGGAAAGGGCTCCCTCCCACGGCAGCACTGCATCCCCAGCCCCACAGTGCTAGTGCTCCTGCCATGCTAGCTACCAGGCTGGGCAGCCCTGCCCCTCGCCTAGGGCCTCCATCTACCCACTCCCAGTCTAAATGTCTAACAGGGACCCAGTAAGGTAGGAGTGGGGTATGGGAGGAGGCTGGACCTGGGTCCTGGAGGCAGTGGGGTGTCTGGGAGGTGCTGGAGAAGAGAGCAGTGGTAGAAGCAAGTTCTCAGGACCTGGTGGGTCACCACAGAGGGACATGAGATGGGTGGCAGCCAAATCATGGGGGGCCGAGGATGGGAGGAATGGGGAGGGGCTTGCAGTAGCCAGAGATTGGTTGCCTCAGTGACAAGAAGCTCACCTCTTTCCTCAGCAGCTGTCTCCAGCTTTAGGCATTTTCTGAGACTTGAGTGGAAACCAGTGGCTTTTCACAGGGCCAGCCTGAGCCCTGGTCCCCTAGTGGCCATGCAGGCCTGTGTGCTCTCCTCCAGGCTGGCTTCCCAGTCCAGGCCTCTGCACTCTGCTCACCCCATTAAGGACCCACTTCTGAGGCCTCTGCATGGGCACATGACCTGCCGGCTACAGCTGGCCCCTCACCTCAGCCCCTCCAAAGTGGGCCACTTCTGAGGACACCACAGACTGCCCTTGCTTGACCTCACAGCCTCCAGGCCCTCAGCTCTATGCAGCTCCTTGCCCTCTGCCCTGGGGTTCCTGGAGGACAATGCAGGGGGCCCCAAGAGACAGTGGCTGATGACACCAAGGCCAGGACCAGGGCAGTGTGTCCAGCAAGGGGCGCAGGGCCAGCACTGGCAGCTGCAGCCGGGATCCTGCCTCTCCTAAGGTCTCAGCACGTGAGGGTGGTCCTGGCCAGGGCACAGAAGCGGCGGGGCCTCCTTAGCCTGCTACTCCTGGTCACCAAGGACAGAAGAAATGACTATTTATAGGGAATCAAAGGTCAGGTATGAAGGGACACATCACTGCAGAGCTCGCTGCCACCAAGCAGGGGCCTCGGCAGACACAGATCTGCGAAATTCATGGGCACTTCACCAGTCAAAAGCACCCACGCAGGGGCTCAGGCCTCCAGGAGACCCAGGCTCAGACAGAGGCGGCGCTCATGGTACGAAACCAGGGCCAGTCCTGGGGACTCAGGCCCGTATGTGCCCTGGCTTGAGGGAGGTCACAGGGAAGTGTGACAGGAATTGAAACTCTCAGGAGAAGATAGGCAACTTACTAAGCACCTCTGTGCGCTGGATCCCCAGAGAGTGATCCAGCCTTGCTTCCAGCCTCACAGGGCCCCCCAGGCCAACAGGTTTCTCACACAGAGACAGGTGTCTCAGCTCAGGGTGGCACAGAGCCCAGGAAGCCCAGGGAAGCTTGGAAACGCCTGTCTGGAAAGAGCCTGGAAGGTTTCCTGAAAGAGGCAGTGTTTGGTCTGGATATGGAAGCTACCGGGAGGAAGAAGGGGGTGGAGGCCACAAGGTTGACAGAGGTTGGCAAACGGTGGGCTCAGAACTGAGCTCAGTGTAGATTAGAGATGGGGGGTGCCCCATGGTTGTGATGGTGTCCAGCTTCCCAGGGCCAGCCCAGAAGGCAGCTCACTGGTCTTGAGATGGTGGGCATGGAAGCTCAGACCCAGGCTCTGCTGCTCATGACCGCGAGACCAGCAAGTCACTGCCCTTGCTGCATCTTGCCAGGGTGCAGGCACCTGGCCCTCCTCCACAGCCCTGGCACAGGGTTCAGGATGCACATGGACCTGGAGGCTGATGCACCAGGGTGGGGGCCAGTTACCAGTTGGGATGACAACACTGCACACCGAACAGCCACACACACGTTATCTCAGGCGATGGGGCTGCTGGGGACCAGAGGGCTGGGAGACTGAGATTTGTTCCAGCAAGTCAGCCCAGGCACGCCTTCATGGGGAGGCCTAGGGAGCCGGCCCTGGAGGCACTTCTGCAAAGGGTTTTGCAAGCCAGAGGCGTCACGGGACACATCACCCCATCAACTCTGGATGAGCAGAAGGCATAGACATAGGGCAGGGTGCAATTAGGACCATCTGAGAACAGATCAATGCACAACAGCCCATCCATCTCCTCACCAGGCTGACCAGAGTCCAAAGTGCAGAAGATCTGAGACAGATGGTCATTCATTCATCCATCCACTCATTCACTCATCCAACATAAAATCAGAATAGGAAAGTGGTGACCCTTGCCAGAGGAAGAGTTCAAGGGACTTTGCCTACAAGGGACCATTTCCAGAGAGGCGCTGTGAGGCACCCAACTGGATGGCAGCAGCCAGGCTGGCACATACCCCCTACCGGGTAGGAGGTAATTAGTGGAAGCCCAGAGAGGGGTTATACAGAGAGCCCACCAGGGCCCTGGGGAGGGGACTTCAGTAGAGGGACAGCATGGGCTGCATGCCCTTTCCTGTCCCATCTCCTTTAGGCCTCACCCTTGACTCACCCAGGATGGAGAGGCCCAGCAACTTCTGTAAGGAAAGTGGGGTGAGAAGGGTGCAGAACTGGAGGGGCAAGTGGGAGAGACCTATGTTGGGGCATTTATAAAGAGCAGCTCTGACCCGACAATATATGGCTGGCACTGGTGGTGGAGGCTCATGGGCTACCTCTTTGGGTTCAAGACCCTGGGGGATAAACAAGACCTTGTATGGTAGAGGTAGGAGAAGGCAAGGGATTTCTACCTCTGGAGGAAAACTAGGTCACCCACCCACCCCTAGCCAGAGGGCAGGCAGTGCAGCTGGCAAGACACCCTGGGACGGCGATGGGGCAGGGCTGCTGGGGCCGGGCTGGGTGGCCTGCCTTGCCAGCAAAGAGTGAAACTGCAGTGGGGAGCCAATAATGGTATTTTATAAAATAACGACTTGTGATCTTCTCATCTCAAGAGTAGTCCTTTCATTACATAAACTTTAGAAAACAGTAAACATATAGAAAAAAAGTCATTCAATCTTACCACCCCATAATAACCATGGTTAACATTTTTGGTATCTGTCTTTCTAGCTTTTTCTTGCTCTAAATGTATCCGGCTTAGAATTTATCCTTTCCAATCAGGTGTGCAAAGAAGCATCTCTACTTTCTGTCAAGTACATCTTACTATGAGCCTCTATTTCCTTCGATGGGGGATTGGCTATTGTGCACAGATGGAAATCCTGATGATGTGTTTGAGGATTCAGGAAAGAAGATTACAACAATGCATGAGAGGGAAAGAGAAGGAAGATGGGGAACAAAGGAAAGGGAAAAACAGAAAAGGAGGAGTGAGGGACGGAAGAGAGAGGAGAGCACATGAGCAGGAGAGGAGACCGCAGGACTTGTCTGAGAAAAGATGAGGCTTACTGCTCAATGGGCCAGACCACCCTGGCTAGGACCATGGACAGCTCACCCATCATCCAGGAAGAGAACACTCTATGGGAACTGAGTTGGGTGCTGGGGTGAGTACAATCTTCTCACTTCACTGAGTTCTACTTTCTGGGAGGGTTTTAGAAAAAATTTTTAATTTGAAGTAATTATAGAGTCAAAGGAAGTCACAAAAATAGTACACGGAGTCTCCCATCTTCCTCCATGGCAACATCTTATATAACTGTAGCACATCAAAGCCAGGAGGTTGTTTTGTCCATTGGCACAATTATGTCAACTAGGAAACAGGGCATATTTAGTTTTCATCAGCTTATACTTGCATGCGCGCGCACATGTGTACCTGTGTGTGTTTGCATATTTATCCTATATGTAGATTTGTATAATTGTCACATTCAAGATACAGAAGAGCTACACCACCATAAAGATCTCCGTCACGCCACCCCCTTATAGCCATATCCTGCCCCCTGCTCCATCCCTGTC